ATTCCTTTTGTAGAGTTTCATTCTTAAATTCCACTGGATAGTGCTTTGAACCAATACAAGATTCAAGATGGATGACAGTTGACCATAAAAAGAAACATCGGAAGATGCAGGCAGTCCGTTTATGTTTGGAAAAATAGAGCCGGTCTCCTAGCGAAGAACAAAAACTTTCAAAAGGAAGGATATCGCGCTATTCTCCCCAATGCTTTACGTGAAAAACTATGTCAAGTACGCATACATCAAACCTCATTGTATCAATCTTCGTATGTTCAGATGTTTCGGAAGCAGACTAATTACTCTCGAAGAGTCACGAATCAAAGATATCAACGACGAAAGAAGAAATCGAAAGCTTCGGAATCTTCGTCGTCTGATGCTTTAAGTGGAAGTGATGAGTATGGCGATTTTCAACGGACCGATGAGGTCGATCAAAATTTCGTCGTCGCACCGAAAGCAACAACAACAACATACACCACGTACCTCAACACCACTACATTAACGCAATACAACCTCAAAACTCAGAAAAAATAAACAGTTGTTTTTAAATTTTTTTGTCTTAAGAAGCCAAAATTCTTTCAACTTACTTGTTTCCATTGTATATTTTTTGGGCGTTTCATTTATGTACAGCTAAATTATTTTTGATTTAAAAAAATTAGATGCAGAGTGAAGTATTATTGCGTATCGTTAATACATGACGGAAATAAAAACAAAAAATATTGCTGGAACTAAGATTCGAACCGCTGGCGTTGGATCAGACAACAAGATGAAACCAACAATTAACCGAAAAAAACGAACGGTTAAGCGGTTAACCGGACGGTTAATGCCGGTTTAGCGGTTAATTGGACGGTAAACCTCACAATTAATTGGATGGTTAACTGCGGTTAATTGGCGGTTTTTTACCGGTTTGATCAACATGGGGTATCTCTTGTTTTCCGTATTGATATTCTTCACCTTAAAAAATGACTCCAACATATCTGAAACTATATTCGAATCTAAAATTGCTAAAACTCACGCATTTCTGGAACAAACTCATCGAAAAAGAGGAAAAATGACTGGAAAAGAGGACAAAGAGGATCATCCACAACCCAGCACTCGATGTTTAAATTAAATTTTAACCTTTTAGGTGAGAAAGATGTAGCTAAACAAATGCCATATGGTAACTCAAAATCACGATCAACGGCTCATGTTTATCGTCGTGCTGTACCATCTACCGTGGAAAAAATAAAAGAAGCAGTTAAATCGAAAACGCCTACAACCGTTTATAAGTCAATGGTAACATCAGCGGATAGTGATATGCCAAGAAACTTGAATCAAGTGCATTACCAACGACAACAACATGTTCAAAATCAAAGAATGTCCAATGATGAAATATTAAATACAATTTTGCTATCTTACCAGATTAATGACTATGTAAGACAATGTTCTTTCCCAGAATTGGCAGTTGTAATGATACATGCAGAAGGACAAGAAATATTCGATCTATTACTAAATCGAACACCAACAACCACTACAATTTCGTTATACTATGATACCACATTTAAAATTGGACAGTATTATTTATCAGTGAGTGAAATTTTTATAGAGTTAGAGGACGTTGTACGATCGACTATGTTGGAATAAAAAGAGAAGATAGTTTAATTTTATGTATATTGTTCCAACACGTGCGGCACAATGCGAATTATAAAAGAATCTGGATTTTAATTCTTTTTAGAAGTTATAAAAACAGTAATTTTGATATTTTTGATGATTAGATCCTCGGATGAAAAACCTATCGCGATGAGCCGATTCATCCTTTAGTACAAACCAACTGGTCTTGTTTCCCAGTTTTCGCTCGCGATTCTAATCGCCCAAAATATTTTCTGCTTGAAACGATTTGGCTCATCCTCAAGGAATTTTTTCGATGCGCTAAATCCGACGAAAGGAAGAAGCAGGACGAGTTGACTCATCCTGCTCTGTGATCCTTTTCTTTAGGTACTATCATACAGACATATGTTCTTTGTTGAGCGACCACTTGTTCCATTGGCTATGCTGATCATGAGTACAAAAATACTGAAGCTCATGAAAAGTTAGTTGCTGTTTTGAAATGTCATACCAAGATGCTCGATAAATGTGTATGTGTTTCTAGACATTGTTTTTCGTACGCCTTTCAACTACCATTTCCTTCCTTTTTTAGGTTCTTATTTGTGATGAAGAACTATCCTTCAAAAATGCCTTTGCAGCCGCGTTTCCAAATTTACGTCACCTCCGCTGTCACAATCATTACAGAAGTGTAAGAGTGCAAAATACATTGATTGTGTTTTTTACTTTCATTTGTTCTAGGACGTTAAAAAGTGGCTTCGTGGGGAATTCAAAAAAACATATAAACAAAATGACGATAACGACGAGAATGTTGAAATTGAAGACTATGGAACAAGTGAAACAATAGGAAAAACAGCTTATGAAAAAAATGCAAGAAAACCGTAACGACTATATTTATAAACATCTTCAATCAGTTGAACAGATCTTATCTTGTAATACCAAAGAAGAATTTCGTGAAGGTACTAACTTTGAAACCTTCATAGTAGATCTTGTCTTTACGGATAAAATTCTTTTGTTTTTAGCTTATGAAATAGCAAAAGAACAATGGTCGTCATCATTCATGAGATATTTCGAAAAATATCATATGCCAACAATTGGTGAAATCGGTAAGAAGTTGAATTTGTTTTGATTTCAATAATAGATCAGGAAACAATTCCTTCAGATGGGTCGACACATCTGAATAGAACGACTTGACTCATCCTACAGAAAACATTTTCTTGATCAATTATGTCATCCAGAAAAACGATTCACAGGATGAGTCAACTTAGCCTTCGAAAGTGAGTCGACTTATCGTAAAGGAAATTTTTTCAATAATTATATAAACCTTTGATGTAAGGACGAGTTGACTTCTACTACGAGGGTAAATCGTCTTATAGAAAGTTTTTCGTTCAATCTAATTATTGAAAAAAATTTCCTTTACGACGAGTCGACTCATTTTCGAAGGCTAAGTTGACTCATCCTGTGAATCTTTTTTCTGGATGACATAATTGATCAAGAAAATCTTTTCTGTAGGATGAGTCAAGTCGTTCTATTCGGATGTGTCGACTCGTCCGTCTGCTGCCAATGTATCATAAATTTCTCTCTTCATCTATTTGTTTTCAGGCGTCTGTTACAGTAAAGAATACGGAGTGTGGAATGAAATATCAAATTCAGGGCCAACTTTCAATCCAGCTGAAAGCATGAATGCAGTAATCAAACGTTGGACACAATGGAAGGAAGTAAGGGAAATCGCTCTCCCCTGCTTTTAATTGATTCTTATCTTTCGTTTTTCAGTTGTCAATTGATCGTTTTGTAACAATGTCGTACCCGTTAATGGGTTATTATGTAAACGAAATACGGCGTGGTTACTGTGGTCGAGGTAAGCGTCGATTCTAGCTTTCCTTTGTCTGTTTGATAATCGATCGTTTGGTTCTATTTAGGTACATATCATTTAACAGTCGAACAACAATGCACACGATCTGGTTTTTCAAAGATCTCCTAGAAAACTTGTTTCAGAAAACTCTTCTGTAAAAAATAACATTTTCCTTGTGAAAACATGCTTCCAAGTCTCTTCTTTCGCATGACGTAAATCGGAGCTCTCTAGCTACTTTCTTTCAAAAATTATTCAGAAAATACTCACATACTGTGCCATTACATTCTTGAACGGATAATAGTACGTTTCTGCATGTTTCGTCTATTTGTATTTTTGATTCTTCTCGTCTACATACAGTTATACCTTAGCCAATTAATATTTCTTCGATCAGTTCAGTAATAATGCGAATCTGTTCTTTCTTTTGATACATAGAAAAATCCTTTTTTTACTATATAAATAACTATTTTCTAACAGATTGGAATCAATAGTGATCAACATAGATACGATTTTACAGTAACCAAAATCACACAGATAGTTCTGATTGGCTCTAGTCTTCTCCGCAAAGAAGATTTTACTGAACAATTTTAACAGTAAGAGTTCAATCATTTCAGATGAAGTCCAGAAAACTTTTGTGAAATAAGAAAAAGTTGTGTTTATTATATCTTTTTAGTAGCAAATGCTCAGTATGTTGATTAACTCTTATTAGACACAATTGTTACCATAGATTTAGAAATATTCGCGCATCGTACTTCTAATAGTGTTTGATGTAATTCTTTTATTTAATTGGATGTTAAAATACAATGAATGATATATCAGAAATTTATTCATTATCCAAAATACTATGGAACTACCATCACATGAATCATAAATTAGAAACATCTGATTGTATTCTGGTGTTAGGCAGTCATGATCTACGTGTAGCTGAATATGCTGCAGAATTGTATTTGCAAGGATGGGCACCATTGCTGATTTTCTCAGGTGGGACTGGTGTTCTTACAAAAGACTGGCAGGAATCGGAAGCCGATCGATTCGCTCAGATTGCTCGAGATAAAGGTGTTCCATCATCAGCGATATTGATTGAAAACAAATCAACAAATACGGGTGAAAATATTCTATTTACGCAAGAATTACTTATTAAGTACAAATTAAGTCCACAAACATTTATTGTTGTACAAAAACCATATATGGAACGACGAAGTTATGCAACATTTAAACGACACTGGCCAGACAGAAATATTATCGTTACGTCACCCAAATTATCATTAGAAGAATATCCTTGTAATGAAATATCAATGGAAAACATGATTAATTTTATGGTTGGCGATTTACAACGGATTAAAATCTATCCAGAGAAAGGTTTTCAAATCTACCAAGAAATTCCTGTTAATGTTTGGAATGCATGCAAACGACTAATTGAATTAGGATTTAACAAACATTTGATTGTTAATTAGAATAATAGAAATCGAAATAAACGCCAAGTAAAATCTCTCTAATATGTGTAGAATCAATGTGTTTTCTTGTGTACATGAAATTACACGTGTCCACGTAACACAGCGAAAAAAAGTCAGTCCATTATGTTTTGAAATAATTATAGCCTCGCAACGAAATGATGTAATAGTCTGGGCAATGTCTTATTTTGTAGAGTAAACTGTCGTCTTTGATATGACAGTCAAGCAAACTCTCATGAGCATTTATTTCAAAAGTTATAACTCAGTAAGTGAGTGACCTAAAAGGCACTTTTTATCTAATTTTGGGTAACTTATCTCTATTTATAGTAGCGTCTCTAAGAGTTCATTTGATTGCCATATCAAAGACGACAATTTACTCGTTATTTTCTTTATGTTGTTTTTCTACTATCTGTGTGATTTTGGTTACTGTAAAATCGTATCTATGTTGATCACTATTGATTCCAATCTGTTAGAAAATAGTTATTTATAT